ATTACTGTAAAAATAAATTTTTTAGTTATGCAGGTTTAGGCAAATTTTTGTACGAGTGATGAACGGGAAAGAGTTTTGTAAGAATATATATTAGTATACCTCAGTACGAATTATAACCAAAGAATAGTTTATCTAAAAGCAAATAAAATACTGTATTTATAATTTGAATTACTAATCTTAAAGTTATCAAAGAGCATTAAACTTATTTTATTTAAAATAAAAATTGTAATCTTATTTGAAATAAAATTGTGCGATGTTAAAACTAATATAAAGATAACTAGCACCCAAAATATGATTCACTGCATCTATAAGTTCTTTACGTTCCCACCGAATTTCTACTTTTAATTGACCAGATGATTTTTTTTTTTTTGACAACGAATGTTTAGCTTTTTTATTTTCTGGTTCTTCTGGCCCATTTAAAATCATCCAAGTTTGTTGTCCATTTTCATATTTTCGAACTCCCTATTTTTCATCACCAAAAATTTGTTCTAAATTTTTATAGGCACCAACTTCTGTAAAGATACACCTATATCATCCATGACTTGGTGAATATTAACTAATATATCTATTAAATACACCAATGAATTAACTTTCAAGACACGGTGCCATAATTACTTGTTGTTCTACCTCTTGTGTACCAATTTTTAATTTGGTTTGTATCATGTGAACTAATGTATCTTTAAATTTGATAATTGCTTCTGGTGGTTGTGGAATAAGTCTAGTTCATGGTATATTGTAATGTGAATGGACTACAGTTTCATAACAGCTTAAATCTTGTTTGTTTTTATAACTTTTTTTAGAACATAACTTGCAAAAAACACGTGAATATATAGAGGTAGATATTTGAATAGAATTATTATTCTTAGATTGGTGAATTCTTTGCCAGTGTAGTTGTAAACCTTTGTTGTTTTTAAAAGTTTTACGTTGACATAATGAACATGCAATAGAATCACTTTGTACCATTATTAATACGTAATATACATGCATATTGTACATATACATTTTTTATTTATATATTAATTTATTTTGGTGACCTAAATTTAATGATTTTAATTGGTTGATCATATAATTTGAGTGACCTAAAAAAAGGCCCAATTACACAAATCCGCACATATGCTTTTAAAATTATGTGAGTATGGCTACAAATATATATGTATATTAATCATTTTTATAAATAAAATTTTTGAAAATACATTCATTTATTATAAAATGCAACTTTGTACGTATATAAAGTTTTGATTCAAATTATTTTATATTAGAGTTAGTTTATAGAGTTATAATTAATTAAGGTTTGGGAGGGTTTGTAGAGGCATAAACCATTTTTTACTTAAAACGTCGCATACTGATTAATTAACTACGAACACCTTTAGACCAAAACCAAATTTTTAATATGTAAATGATTTATATAATGGTTATAACGGGTTAATAATAAAAAGCCATATAACGTAAAATTTTTTTCAGCCCGGATTTCCGTTATAGATAGTTTTTAGTAAAAGTGTAAAATCAAAAGTCGGTTGCTGGGTTATTTTTAAAATTTTATTATAATTAACAAAAATCCAAGTTTTTTTTAAAAATTAATTTTTTACATGTATTTGTGCATCTTTATTGCAAAAGATTGAAATGTAAAACATGAATGAAAAAAAAATAGAATAATCACTATAATTTACAAATATTTAAATACTTTTTCGATGGTTTTAAAGCCAATATAATGTTATTATGCATGATATAAATCACAATAAATCATATAAATCAGTTAGACATTAGCAAGAACTTTCTTGAGGTTTTTCTTTTGATCTTCGGATAACTTTGAAGGAAATATAACATCATATTTTATAATTAGATCGCCTTTTTTGTTTGGATCTTTTGTTGGCATTCCCTCGTTTGAAAATCTCTGCTCTTGACCCGGCTTTATAATTGAGCTACTTGATAAACTTAGGGTTCTACCATCCAGCGTTTGTATGTTAGCCTTAAAGCCTACAAGAGACTCGAGTAAAGAAATCTTCATGACCATACGTAAATCGTCGTTATCACGAATAAATACCGGATGTGGTTTTTCATCTATAACAACTACAATATCTTGAGTTTCACCATTTGATAATTCATCACCAGCTTTACCATAACGGAATTTTGAACCAGCTTTTAACCCAGGTCTAACATTAACTTCTATAATTTTATCAGTGGGAATTTGTTGACCTGATGCGCTGTCATATAATTTTCGGGAAACTTTGAGTTTCTTTGTAGCACCCTTATATAATTCTTCAAGTGTGAAGGATAAATGATGTTTAACTTCAGGTAGACCTCTATTTTCGCCACGAGATCGACCGAATATGTCACCAAAATCACCACCTGTAGATCGTCCTCTTGAAAACGAGGTAAATTGACCAAAAGGATCATCGTCATCAGTACCAAACCGAGAAAAGAATTGGTTAAAAATCGATTTTGGATCAGTTGGGGTAAAACCGCCATCAAAACCACCTTTTAAATTGAGAATTAATTTAATAATTTTAATAATAAATTCTTAAAAATTTTCATAAAATAAAAAATAAATTTTTTTTTTATTTCTTTAATACATACTTGTTCTGAACGTAAATGTAGGACCACCACCTTGACCGCCTTGAAAACCTTGAAAACCAGGAAATGAACCACCAGCATCAGGCGGCGGAGGAGCACCTTTCAAGCCTTCTTCACCATATACGTCATAAATTTGGCGTTTATTTTTATCGCTGAGCACTTCATATGCTTCGCTAATCTCTTTAAACTTTTTCTCCGCGGCTTCTTTATCAGCACTGCCTTGATGCCTATCAGGATGCCATTTTAAAGCTATTTTAAAAAACAAATGTATCGATAAATATTATGTAAATTAAGAAAAATGAAAAGAAAGCACAGAATTTATAAAGTCGGAACATACCTAACTTCCTATAGGCTTTTTTAAGTTCTTCGTCGTCAGCGGTTTTATTAACACCAAGAATTTTATAATAGTCTTTACCCATTATTATACAGTATATAGTTAATTATTAGTTTATTACAGTTTTTTTAAAAAAAAATTTGAATTTTTGTAAAATCAATCAACGAAATAATAATCTTTTTGCGTAAACAATTATACGTATTTAAATGTTTTTTAGAATGTCATAAATTGACATAATTTGGCAAAAAGTTATTTTACTAGAATATTCTTCAATGCTCTGGAAAATCATTTGTCAAATATCTGGCGTTATGCTTACAAAAATCCCAGAAATCTCATTGTTTAATTAGTCATTTAACGTCAAGAAAAAAAAGCATTTTAATTGGATATTTTTATAATGGTTATATATGACATATTTAATAAAGATAATTCTGTAGTTATCGTTATAATTACTTCTTTTCGATTGAGGATGTCAGAGGATTTCCGTGTAACATATAATGTCGGAAAATTGGTAACTTTAATAATATCGCACTTTAAGCCTCTTTTTATTAATAAACATTTTTGCTTTAAATGACTGGATTCAAATTTTTACATAATAAAATAATACGTTTGGCGATGCTTATACTGTACGTAGTACCCCCATAAAATAATATTAACAGCCTATAGCGACAGTATTATTTTTCATAGTTTTTTTGAATAAGACCTTGGTACTACAATGTAAAATAACTCATTATACAGGAATTATACAGAAACAATACTGCAATAACGATAAGCCGCTTTTGTTAAACTATCTATCCATGACGTAAGCCTTGCGTAAAATGCGTAAAATATTGACGCCCAAAAAAGCAAAAAAAGGAGGCCTGTTTTAAAATTGAATACTAAGGGAAGTGTCATTTATCATCTGATTTTTTGTAAATAGTAAAATCTCCCCACTCCCTCAAATGATTACGATTACATAAAACATATATACATGTGATCTATTAGCATGATATTTTGGCACCCACCCCCTGCTAAGAAAATCAGATGATAAATGACACTTCCCTAACAAATTTGTAAATTAAAAATCACGTGCCGCATATAACACAGGTAAAATGAGGTTCAATAGGGAACCAGGTTTCGAAAAAAAATCATTATTAAAAACTGATTTTAAACTTTAACAAAGATAACAGTTGTAAGTTATCTACGTAGTATTATTAATATTAAATTATCTTAATTTTAGATACTATTTTCGTAATGGATGATCTCAGGCAAAAGAAGCTGTTGATATTGGTTCGATTATAATAACTAAAATGGATGGGTGGCGGGGCTATATCAGCGTAAGGCATTGGTATGAATTTATATTGTGCTCAAAAACACAAAGCGCTTCTTGTTTTTTATGCTTTTCTTTTCCCACTGATATTGTTAAAATATATTTAAAGTGTCGCAGCAACACATAGCCCAATTATTTTTATTGGTACCAGTGAACATATTCATGATTTGGAAAGATTTGAACCTAGGTCTCTAGAACTTGATGGTTAAAAAGGCATTCCTTTCGTATAGGGATGGTAAAAAAACGGTTTAAACAGTTTTTTAACCGTTTTAAACCTTTTTTTAAAACATCGAAGTCTGAGATAAAATTTCGCTGAAACTGAAAATGTTGCTTTTGATTAATTAATTTAATTTTCAGCTAAGAAATTTTTTTTTAAAAAAAAGACGTTGCCATATAATTTCGAATTTATCAAACGTAAAAAATAAATTTAATATATTTGTTCGCTTTAATTTTTATCAAAGCTATCGATCGCTATTATTTTAGATGTTTCATTCTATATTAGTTTTACATTCGTTGGTATTGAAAGTCCAAGGTTCAATATTGCCATTATGTAATAAGTTTTTTCGAATGAATTATTTAAAGAACCAGAATCCTGTTTTGAGTTTTTAATAAATCTTATATATGTCTTGGGAGTTTTTTTTTACATTTTAATGGATGACCTTTTAATTGGTCGACTAAATCAACATCGCAATAATTACATTTTTGGCGAGGTGTCGTTCAATCATGTTTATCAGGTTCAGTAATTTTGTAAGATTTAAACGGACTTATATTGACGAGAATCTTCCACATGAGAAGAATTTTCTTTTTTAACAAATTTAAATCAAACATGATTTTTAAGATCGTGTTTTAAAACATTTGCCATCGTACCAGTATTATCGAAATGAACTTAATACGATTTGTACAAAAATGCTGGGTTAGTTTGGTCTTTTATTTTTTGTTAATAATATTTTTTTTAAAATTCTCTACCATAATTGTATTTATTTATTTTTACATTAATAATTTTAATAAATTTATATATTAATAAGGTTGTCTTTTAAACGATTTTTATTTTATTTTATTTAAAATATCGCATTACAAATTAAGTTTTTTATATATACAATTCAGATATTTCGTAATACAAAAATTTTTTAAAAAAATATAACTTTTTTTTTATTATTAATTTAAAATTTACAAGCTGTGAATTTAATAAAAGTTTGAGATACTTAGTTTCAGAGATTGTCTCTCTTACTTGTCCCAACCACCGCGAAGAGGTG